TTAGGTTGGTTTCATTGTAGTCATCAACTGCAACTTCATTTTACGGTATAAAAAAGTATACTATGACTACTGACGATATGCTTGATAAGTGTTACAGACTTCATCTTCTAATGGATAAAAACACAACTACCTACATGTACAATTTATTCTTCGAGCCGACAATAAGTAAATAATTACTCCAAATCTGTAACGACCTGTTTAGTCATTTTGAATAGCAGATTTTATTTCTGGAAAAACAGGCTGAGACGACGGAACTCACGACGGACCGTCATGCGCACGACGGATCGTCGAGGGGTCTCGTTTCAAAACACTTAGAAATTCTGAAATTGAGTGCTGAAATCGACTCTCTGAACTTTGTGACGGACCTGCAGGATAGACCGTCACAGGCACGACGAACCATCGTGATCCGTCGTTTCAAAACACTTCAACTCTTGAGAATTTGGTACAGGGAACGATTCTCGGAACGTCATGACGGAAGTGCAGGACGGACCATCGTAGGTACAACGGGCCGTCACAGACTCCTTAAGGAAATTGAGTCTCTGACCAACCTGCATGACGGACCGTCGCAGGCGCGACGGGCCGTCACAGGTTGCGTAATCCCAGTCGGAGTCGGATTTCTGGTTAAGTTTTAAAGGGGCGTTTTGGACTATTCCTACTATAATTATATATTTCGTGGGTTTATTGTAACGACCCGTTTAGTCGTTTTGAGCAACAGACTTCAATTCTAGAAAAACTGGCAGAAGCGACGGACCCCACGACGGAACGTCATAGGCACGACGGACCGTCGCAGGGTCTCGTTTCAAAACACTTACAAAATCTGAAATTGGGTACTGAAAATCGACTCTCTGAACTTTGTGACGGAATGGCAGGACGGACCGTCGCAGGTGTGACGGACCGTCACAGACTCTAAGTGAAAATCCATTCTCTGAACTTTGCGACGACCTGCAGGACGGACCGTCGCAGGCACGACGGCCCGTCACAGGTTGCGCAAATCCCAGACAGAATCGGATTTCCTTACACGTTTTAAGGGACGTTTTTGGACTATTCCTTCCTTAATTATAGATTTTGTGGGTTTATATTAATAACTCAAATTCTTGGGGGTTAAAAGAGGTAACCCTAAGTTAATTAGTGGAGTATTATTACCATCTTTTACACTTAATTATATGTTAACTAGGGTAAAAGAAAGAGGGTTTGAATAAAGAAAATAGAGAGAACAAGGAGAGAGGGAGTTTGATCGATCAAGAGGCAGAGGGAATATCAAAGCTTGGGAAATTGCTTGTTGATTTCAATTCTTCGGTGGAGGTAGGTTATGGTTTCTCTTACGATATTCGTAGTAAACTCTGAATATAGAATGATATGTATTGATAATATTGTAAACCCTACTATATGCTTAATTGTATGCTTGCATGAGTATGATTATGTGATTGTGATAAGATAAGCATGATGAAAATATTGAATCCCAAATCTTGAAAAGAAACTTTAATATACATTATTAATGATGATGTCTTGGTATAGACGAAGGCTTGCTGAATTAATGTAATGGGATTGAGGATGCCTTGGTATGTAGAAGGCTTGATGATTTACAGAATGATATTAGGGGATCGGGTGTCACGAACCGACACGTAGAATTAGGGGATCGAGTGTCACGAACCGACACGTAGAATTAGGGGATCGGGTGTCACGAACCGACACGTAGAATTAGGGGATCGGGTGTCACGAACCGACACGTAGAATTAGGGGATCGGGTGTCACGAACCGACACGTAGATTTAGGGGGATCGGGTGTCACGAACCGACACGTAGAATTAGGGGATCGGGTGTCACGAACCGACACGTAGATTTAGGGGATCGGGTGTCACGAACCGACACATAGATTTAGGGGATCGGAGTGTCACGTACCAACACAAGAGGAATAATGAATATGAGGGAGCGGAGTGTCACGTACCGACACAAGAGAAATAAAGATAATGAATCCTGAAAGATGTTAATATACTCAATCTAATGAACATGATTCCCAAATGAGTATGGTATTGGGGCTTGAGTCCTCATGTGTGAACTTGACGGTAATTGTTAATGATATAGTGCTTGTTGATGCTACATGTTGGGTATCATAGTTGAGTTTATGATATTACTTGGTATATACTGTTTTCTATTTTGAGTTGGCCGATGATATCTACTCAGTACCCGTGTTTTGTACTGACCCCTACTTTTATGTTTTTCTTCTTTTTATTTGTGGAGTGCAGCAAACGTGTCGTCGTCTTCGACTCAACAGTAATTCTAGCCAGTCTTCGTCACACCGGATCTTCAGGGTGAGCTAATGCTTCTAGCTTGGACTGGATCTTCTCCTTCATGTCTTGATGCCTTGAAGTCCCGGCATGGACTAGCTTCTTATGTATTTTTTTGCTCCTTAGAAACTCTTAGAATTAGTAGTTTAAAGTAGATGTTCTTGTGATGATGACTTCCAGGTTTTGGGAATAATAGATGTTGAATATTGATAGTTATTGAATTGGTTTTATTAATGAGTTTAAGTCTTCCGCATTATTTTCTGTTGTTATTACATTGAAATGTTAAGGTTTAGATTGGTTGGTTCGCTCACATAGGAGGGTAAATGTGGGTGCCAGTCGTAACCCGGTTTGGGTCGTGACATTTATATTAATAACTCAATTTCTTGGGGGATAAAAGAGGTAACCTTGAGTTAAATTGTGGGTTATTATTGTCATCTTTTACACTTAATTACATGTTAATTAGGGTAAAAGAAAGAGGGTTTGAATAACAAAAATAGAAAGAACAAAAAGAAAAGAGAGGGGATCGAACGAGAGAAAAGGGAAACGAAGAGGATAGCAAAGAATCTTGAGGAATTGCTTGCTTGATCACGAAATCTTCGGTGAAGGTAGGTTATGGTTTCTCTTACGATATTCGTAGTAAACTCTTAATAGCGAATGATATGCATTGATAATATTGTAAACCCTGCTATGTGCTTAATTGTATGCTTGCATAAATGTAACTATATAATTGTGATCATATAAGCATGATGAAGTTATTGAATCCCAAATCTTGAAAAACCCTAATCTCTTTGTTAATGATGAGGCCTTGGTATAAAAGAAGGCGTGATGAACTAAAATAATGAGATTGATGATGCCTTGGTAAGAAAGAAGGCTTGATGAATTGATAGAAGGAGATTAGGGGATCGGGTGCCACGTTCTGGTACCAGGATAGTATATGAGGATCGGAGTGTCACGTTCCGACACCAGGATAGAATATGGATCGGTGCCACGTTCCGGTACCAGGATAGTATATGAGCATCGGAGTGTCACGTTCCGACACCAGGATAGAATATGGATCGGGTGCCACGTTCCGGTACCAGGATAGTATATGAGGATCGGAGTGTCACGTTCTGACACCAGGATAGAATATGGATCGGGTGCCACGTTCCGGTACCAGGATAGTATATGAGGATCGGAGTGTCACGTTAAGACACCAGGATAGAATATGGATCGGGTGCCACGTTTCGGTACCAGGATAGTATATGAGGATCGGAGTGTCACGTTCTGACACCAGGATAGTATATGGGGAGCGGAGTGTCACGTACCGACATGAGAGGAATAAAGATAATGAATCTTGAAAGATGTTAATATACTCAATCTAATGAACATAAATCCCAAATGAGTATGATGAGGAGGCGTGAGTCCTCATTGATGAGCTTGGTGTTGTAACCAAGGGTTATGGTAATTGTAAATGCTACATGTTGAGTATCATAGTTGATTTTATGATATTACTTGGTATATATTATTTTCTATTTTGAGTTGGCCGATGATACCTACTCAGTACTTGTGTTTGTACTGACCCCCTACTTTTATGTTTTCTTCTTTGTTATTTGTGGAGTGCAGCAAACGTGCCATCGTCTTCAACTCAACCGCAACTCTAGTCAGTCTTCATTATTCCGGATATCAGGGTGAGCTAATGCTTCTAGCTTGGACTGGATCTTCCTCTTCATGTCTTGATGCCTTGAAGTTCCGGCATGGACTAGCTTTTATGTATTTTTAGCTTTTTAGAATACTCTTAGTTTAGTACTTTGATCATAGATGTTCTTGTGATGATGACTTCCAGATTTTGAGGATAATAATAGTTATTGATTTTATTAATGAGTTTAAGTCTTCCGCATTACTTTCTGTTGATATTATATTGAAATGTTAAGGTTTAGATTGGTTGGTTCGCTCACACAGGAGGATAAGTGTGGGTGCCAGTCGCGGCCCGATTTGGGTCGTGACAAAATCTAAAGAATTGTACTAAAGGACAGTTGTAGACTTGTATTAATAATAATATGACAAAAAAAATTCTCCAAGTATGAGTGCTAATGGCACAGGGTACGAGAAATTCTGCGATCTTGTAGATTGTTCTAACGGGATTTGTCAACATGATCCTATAAGGTTTATGAAGATAATGTTGCAAGATAGCTTTTGTTTACACCGACTAGACGTTCCATGTTTGATGGGACTCTTAAAGGGTGCATTCCTTTCTTTGAAGATTTATCTGCGAAATAACAGTATAGATGGCATTTTCCAGAGAAGTATGAAAAATATTGTGTCGATATTTAAAGAAGACCTTGTGTTTAAGGGGTTGAGAATTGTTGATGGTTAACTTATTTTTCATGAAGTTGAGTAATATATTAATGATAGTATGACCAAAAAAAATCTTATTTTCTTTCCCCCCCCTCCCGTTTATCAACTAGCCCTTAGAATTATGTATATGAGTTAAATGATTTTTATTGTACATGTCAATTTTAGTTGATTCGTGATGCCAAATGACAAAGAAATTAAAACTAAGACTTTCAAAACGACATAAAGGAAAGAAAAATTGAAAGTCATGATGGTATTCATCATTATAATCATCTTCTTCCCCACCTTTGATTTTCTACGACAATATAATAGCACTTCATCTTTACTCAATATAATGTATTGTGGCGTACATACTACGATGCTAATTCTAAGACAGTAAATTTGATTATTGAAAAAAATCAAATACTAATATACAGTACAAAATTGTTGTGCAAATTCTAATTACATATATCGTTTCTTAAGGACATATATCGTTTATGAAGGATGACACACAAGCATGGGCCCAACAATTTCAATAGGAGGTCAGCAACAGATTGACTTTTTAAATAGAAACAATACTCTTTATTAGGATGTTATACCACATTATCATGTACAACTCATCTAGCTTGTATCAAATTATATTTTCACCTTCCGTGCATTCATCATGTCATTTTAACGCGCCATACATCAGCATGTTAACTCTGCTCGTACTACATCCACACTATAAACAACAATGCAAAAATGAGACATAAGTTGGGTAGGTGGAAATTAAAGATATTTTGCAACAAATATATGTTTTGGAAGATGTCAAACCTTACTCATTATAAAAAGTTACAACAAAACCTAAAACATTCTATATACATGAAAATAGAATTGGGAAAGTGCATTTTACTACACAAATGAATTGTAGGAGAATTTGAAGGGGCAATGGCTATGTGAATTGTGCTCTTTAAGTTGTTAGAGATGGAGTTAACAGAAGGAAAAATAAGCAATTACCTGGTATGAAAGAAGTTGTAAAAGATCACAAGTCATTTTTATAGAAAATATATGTAGTTGGTGGTTTGAGCTTGAGGCAGATGCTAAGGAGGAGCTCAGCTGATTGTCAACAAAATCTTCTCGTCCGTCCTCTAAAGTAGTATGCCAAATCAATAGGTATATCACATGTAGGAGATGCATTTTTTATCGTCACTCTCCTCTTAGTGGAAAAGTAGATTTACTTCAGAATTGGTCAGTAAAGCGTTGGATATGCAAATAGAGCTTCTCCATCGACTTCGTTAAAAATAAAAATAAAAATGATTTAAGCGACTCAACTAAAGAACGACCATGACCATATGATTCCAATAAATAGCATAATGTAAGAGCTAAAGAATCCATACCGGAGCCTAATGCTGATCCTGCCTTGCTACTTTTCTCTCTCAGCTTGTTTTTTTCTTAGCACCTTTTATCTCAAACTGATTTGGTAGAGTCGTTTCTTCCCTTTTCAGCCTTGAACTTGTGGATACATTTCATGACCACCCTCTTGTTCTGGAAGAGGTAGCAAATTTCAAAGTCACAATCATAAAAGAAGCATTTTGAGTACATAAATAGACTTATTTCTATGAGAATACAATGTGTTCCACATCAAGTGCATGTCAAAATCCATCAATAATGAGGAACAATGTTAGCCAAAATTTGTTAAAATGACTCAACAAAGATTTAATCCCAGTAAAAAATAGATGTAAGAGATGGAAACATTTAATTGTCCGTGTGTTGACATAAAGGGAGAAGTTTATTGTAAAATTCTGTTATTGATTTCATCCATTCGTGATAATTAACACCAAAATGATAAGCATCATCAATTGAAACACACCGTGGATATTTTTAGCAGTTCACTCGCAACCTTATGAAAGAAGCTTTAATAACCCCCTGACTCTCCTAAGCATTACCACCTCCTGCATCCTCTACTTGCAACCCTGCATCATTGTAATATATTTGTTTTTATGATTGTGAACATCAGTATAATTTTTCTTATAATCCTGGAGCATGCATGTAAGCAACTTCTAAAGGTTTCTAATGTGTTGTTAAAGAGAGCAAAAAGATCATCCTTATTCATGTTATTTTTCATAAACAAAAATCATATTTCTGAGTTATTCATTCACTTGATAATGACATCAACCAGCCTCAAGTAAAGGTATAGTTCCACCAAAAATGATAAATGACTTAAAAAAGGTAGAAGTTGAAAGTTGAGCAAGTAGAGAGCTGAAAGTTGCTTTGGGTCAAGTATTCATATAGCAGGGGAATAGTTCTAACACCAATGCTTATTGAACTTATTACTCCCGAAATATGGTCTTACATAAGAGATGATTGGTTAACAAATGACAACTAAACATTCAAGTGCTATTTCTATAAATAAAATTGAGTAACAAAATGTTAAATTGGCTTCAATCGAGATTTTCTCGGCTTGTTAGGCACCTGAGGAAACCGCCTAACATCGAAATCCCAATCAAAGACAAGTTCTACCAAGGCTAGGATCTGAAAGAAAGGATTCACTTTAAAAAATTTCAAGTGACATGATTCCTCCTTTAGAAGATAAATATACGAAACCATTTGTACGAACCAGTTAAGAATTTGTTACCAGTTGAGAGTTAGTCTGTCTCATGTCCCATATCGAGCTAAGCTGCAAATATAAAAGAAATGTACATTAATACAACAACATACATTAAATAATGATGGTGAAAAAAATAACATAGTAAAATTGGAAAAGTTAAAGACTAATGTAAGCTTTCAATGGTATAGCTGGAAGTTATGCAAAAGCTCTTTTAATGATTTCATCATTCAGGTGAACTGCAATAGTCAAAACAATGGCACGAATGAAATCAAAGTTAAGCACCCTGAGTATGCACACGAATAGAAATTTTAGTGACACATGTGGAATCCTGAGAAGATGAAAACAAAATTAATAGTTTGCTTAACTGTTATTGTGGAAGCAACTCATAGAACAGTACCAAAAACACGCAATATTTAGCTTAAATTATTTTACAATTAATAACAGAGGAAAATTTATAGTTAGAAAATGAAATCAACAAATATAACAACTGTCGCTAAAGAAAAAGAAGATGTGAGCGTTTGGATTGCGGCCGAAACAAAATAACCTTGAAATTGAACATATGAAAACCTAATCAACAGCCAAACAAAATAGAAACCTATAAAATCGCACAATACATGGTTCTATTCTTTCATATTATTTGTTTTAACTTTTTTACACTCTTTATAGTTCATAAGTAAAAATAATACTTTTACTAATTTACTGTTAAAATTTTGTAATACTTTCTTTTTTTTACTTTTACTTATCATATTTAAATTTGACACATTTATTAAAAATATAATGATTAACATGACTTATTTGATTACCATACTTTTTAATATTTGGTGTTTAATATTAAGTCTTGAAAAATAATTTCAGGAATAAGTAATTAATATTAAGTAAGAAACATGAAAAACTTGTATTTTCTTGATATTAACTGTCGAAATTTGAACCCTGCATGAAAGATCAAGAACTTATCAAGTCGTTAGCCTGAACTCGAAATTGTAGAACTATAACAAATCCTATTCGAATCAATTGAATTATTATAATTTAACAAATATTATTTAAATTAATTAAATTATAGTTCAACAAATTTTAGTTAAATTAATCTAATTATAATTACTTTTATTAATTAATAAAGCATTTTCCATAAGCAGGGGCTTGTCATCCTCTAGTTATTAAAGAGAAATTTGACTAGTATTTGAAACGTATTATTATAATAATAGCATAAAAGTGTAATTTAAAGACTTCTTGTGTAATATAATGAATATTTAAATCTTAAGAAAATTAATTTATTTTAATTTACTTCTAAGAACTATTATTTAATTGGTTAAATCAACATGATTAGATGAAAAAGGAATTTCTAAATCTATAAAAAAAAAATATTTTCATTATTGTGGAATAAGAAACCTTCATATCTTAATGAACATCTTTAATTTATTTGGAGCTATTTGACTTGAATCCAGCATATTTAGTGAATTTGAGTCAAAATATTAACAAGAATATTTAGATTAGCAATAAATAAAGTGATGACTTTATTATTCATGGTTAAGTATTATAAGTCATCTAACTCGTTGATAAATGAATAAAGAAAAGAGAAAAGATATAAAATGAGACCTGAAGTTATCTCGAATTTTCAAAAAGACATCTAAACTATGCAAGTGTCCTAATACCCCCTTAAACAAACCTGAACTAATATTATTACATCATTTTTTGTCCACCTGGCATGAAGAGTGTATATACTCTCTTAAAGAGCGTGAACAAACTAAAAAATTAATATACTTTTATTTTTACAAGAATTTTACCATAAAATATATATTTTTATTTTTTTCTTATTATTTTAACTTTTTCTCCTTATTATTTTTTTCTTTTTCTTTCTTCCTCCTTCTTCAAAAATTCATTGTCATATTCATTAACTTATCACTTTTAATGTCACTTTTTAGCACAAGTCCATTTCTCTTTTATTCTACTATTAGTTTAACTCTCTTTAATTTTATAATTATATCTAGATATTTTAATACATTTCGAACAATGTGATAAACTCATTAGATTTCAAGATGATTAGTAGACATTATTTAGTTTTTTATCCAAATTCTAACTAAACATTTTCAATTTTCGGAGAATTCTTATGCTTTCAAAATTATCGTTTCTAGTTTTGACTTAATATGAAAATGAGATAAATCAAATGATGATACCTTCAAAATTTTGATCTTTCTTAGAAAAATAATTAGTTTTGTTATCAATAACTCAACAAAGTCTAAAAAACAGTATAATTTTGAAAAGTAAAAAATTTGATCAAATAAGAAGAAGAAAAGAGAAAGAAAATGGAGGGGCTCAACTTGATATGGGTGTGGGGTTAGGTGAGGATAAAAGGGGAAGAAGAAGGAATAAAGAAAGAAAATGGAGGAAACTTGAAAGTTGGGGTAGAAGATGAATTAAAATTTGAAATGAAATTAAAATAAAAATAATAAAACTAAAATAAGTCAAAAAGTAAGAGAAAGAAATAAAGAAAATTTAAAAATGAAAAAAAAATAATATTTCAAATTGAATTAACACGTGTCGCACAATAATTGGTGTGTGATTACACTTGCCATTTATAATCTGGAATTGATCCAAAAATGATGTAATAATATATATTCGGAATAGTTTAGGGGGGTAAATGACATCTGCATAGTTAAGGTGTCTTTTTAAAAATTTGAAACAATTTCAGGTTGTCACTTTATGTCTTTTTTCTAAAGAAAATGACTAGTTTTTGATAATACAAGTAAAATAGACATAAACTCACAAATTGTTTCTTGAATTTTCAAATAGGACAAGTTAGTCTTTTTAATTGATTCCAACAACTTTCATCCTCATAAACAAACTCATATATATCAATCAGTAATGTGTAAAATATCAATTTAATCAATCAAGTGTGTTGCACTTAAGCTATGTTCTTTGAAAGTTTCATATCCCATCATTTAATTAAATGATAATATTTTAGTTAGTCATCTTAAATAATTTCACTAACGGCAATAAAACATTAGAAGTCCATCATTATATTAAATAAACATACTATAAACTATACATTGTTTCATTCATCAACTTTATAACTTTCATTAAAATCAAGCTAGGATTATGTATTTGTGGTTATTCCAAGCATCAAATAGCTCAAATAATATCTTTCACGACATAAATAACTCACACTTATCATTTCAAAAATGTAGAAAATACCTTTTTGAGAAGAAAATCCCCAAAATCAACTTCAAGGTTTTAAAAAAAGATTCTTGATGTTCTTGTTGTAATTTATTAGGGGAAAAGGTTAAAAATGTCCTCAACGTATCGAAAATAGATCTAAAATGTCATCCTTCCACCTATTAGATCAAAAACACCCTTAAGGTTATTTTTAAGGTTAAAAATACCCTTCTTTAACAGAATTATAATATGACATAAATAAAATTTTAAATTAAACACGTGACATTAAAATATTGGTCCACATAAATTTTTGACCCAATTCAATCAAACTGTCCTACCTTTTTAAATATAACCCAGTTGGTTTTTTTATTTTTTTTTAAAATCTACTTGATTTATTGAACGGATTTCACCACAATGGCTTTGTTTGAGCGTCAAAGAGTGAAATCTATTGGGAACATTGCACCTTTTCTCATATTTGTTATTCCTTTACCTTTGCCAGTAGAATTTCAAGTGGCTCTTCATTTTTACTCTTCTCAAAGTATTCCTACAATTTTCAGGTTTTGTAATTGTTATTTTCTGCTCGCATTCTGTTCTTCATTCTTCATTCCTCTTTTCTTTGTTCTGTATCTGAACCAATTCCCATATGAGAATCTATGTTGTAATAAGCAAAGTGGGAATAGAAGATATGAGAGTTTTTTTTTTTACTTTTCTCTGTGAAATTTGATTCTGAATTTTGAGAACTCATGTAACTAATTTGGTTTGATTGCTTATAAATATTGTCTCAGCAGCTTTTGATCTTCAATCTTCTCCAAGTACTGCAGCAATTTTGAGGTAATTCCTAAGTGTGTCTTTATATTCCTTTTGAATTTTTTTTTTTAGATTCTATTTCTGAAATTGTCATTTTCATAAGTTATTTTTCTCGATTTTCTTGTAAATCTATTTTCATGTATTATTTTCCTCGATTTTCGTATAAATTTTAGTCATAGATTGATGTAGCCTAAATCCTAGAGAAATTCAAATGGCATAATGAATATTTAAATTCAGTTTAGGAAGTATGAACTTAAGAGGGACACTTTTATTTTACAAGGATAGGAAATTTGATTTGGTGTAACAAAAACCTAGTCTTTAGGTTTCTCATTCTTCCGCATTTATCTTAGTATTATTATTCTGTTGTTCGAGCTTTGTTTTAGTTACTGGCGATTACAATCTATCTCAATTGATATGTACTCTCTTTATTCTAGATCATGCTTCAAAATTGGAAAAACAAATTTATAGGTTAAGAAACCTGCTCGAATTTGCAATTCTATCTCTTTTAGGTTGGTGTCATTGTAGTCATCAACTGCAACTTCATTTTATTGTATAAACAAGTATACTATGACTATTGATTATATGCTTGATTAGTGTTACAGACTTCATCTTCTAATGGATAAAAACACAACAACCTACATGTACAATTTATTCTTGGAGCCGACAATAAGTAAATAACTACTTCAAATCTAAAGAATTATACTAAAGGACAGTTGTAGACTTGTATTAATAATAATATGACAAAAAAATTCTCCAAGTATGAGTGCTAATGGCACTGGGTACGAGAAATTGTTCGAATTTGTAGATTGTTCTAACAGAATTTGTCAAGATGATCCTATAAGGTTTATGAAGATAATGTTGCAAGATAACTTTTGTTTACACAGACTAGACGTTCCATGTTTGATGGGACTCTTACAGGATGCATTCCTCTTTTCTTTGAAGATTTATCTGCGAAAAAATAGTATAAATGGCATTTTCCAGAGGAGAAGTATGAAGAATTTTTTGTGTCGATATCTAAAGAAGACCTTGTGTTTAAGAGGTTGAGCATTGTTGATGTTTAACTTATTTTTCATGAAGTTGAGTAATATATTAATGATACATGACAAAAGTTCTTATTTTCTCCCCCCCCCCCACCTCCCGTTTATCAACTAGCCCTTAGAATTATGTATATGAATTAAATGATTTTTACTGTGCATGCCAACTTCAGTTGATTTGTGATGTCAGTTGACAAAGAAATTAAAACTAAGACTTTCAAAACAACATAAAGGGAAGAAAAATTGAAAGTCATGATGATATATCATTATAATCATCTTCTTCGCCAACTTTGTAACTCGTTCAGACATTCATCTAAAAATTAACGACGAAAAAAAAAGAGAACTAAAACTCAAAATGACTAACAAAGATCTCAATGTTAAATAATCAAAATCATAAACCTTGAGATTTTGATAACAACAAATACAAATATAAAAGATGGGAAGAACATTTGTAGAAGTGGGCGCTTTACCTTTTTCGGGGCAGCAACTGGGATAAACAAGCTGAGCAAATTCTAATTCGTGAGCTTAACTCGAGCAAAAAGAGAAT